TGAATTTCATGTCAACGAGAGTAAAAGTGTTAATCGTTTTTTTACTCAAACCGAAAGAGGGGCAAATTACTTCGACGTGTTTTTTTAACGTTTTGAAGCTAACAACACCCAAAAGAAGAAATGAATTTCCTTTACACCAAAACCAGTTAGTCCACCATGCTTAACATCGCTATTAAGCTTTTGGTAAACAAATTTAAAGTCATTTTGACAACTATATAAAGGGGAAAATTCCAAATAAAAATTCAACGCCTTTCGTAATATACTTTTATTTGTTAAAAAAGGAAAATAAAGTTAACGCCACTTAACATTCTTTTTCTGTATCTAGATAACGTAAGAAATAGCGGATATCGCTGTCAATTAAATTAGTCACTAGGTCAAATATTCAAGGTTTTAGCAACCGCTCCATCAAAGTCGGCCTACAATGACAATTTCGCATATTTCATAATAAAAAAAAAATTAAATTAAAACCTGTCTATATATATGATCACGCTCTCCAATGTATAAAAAAATAAAATAAATAAGTGGCTCTACGACCTTTTTAGGTCTGGGCCTCTGTGTCTGTTTCATAATCATTTGTTAATCTTATAGGCAAGTAGGTGATAAGCCTCCTGTGCCTGACGCACGCCGTCTACTTTTTGAGCCTAAGGCAAGCCGGTTTCCTCACGATATTTTCCTTCACCGCTCGAGCGAATGTTGAATGCGCTCATAGAAAGAAAGTCCATTGGTGCACAGCCGGGATCGAACCTACGACCTCAGGGATGCGAGTCTGACGCTGAAGCCACTAGGCCAACAGTACACACAATAGTTATGTATACTTTATCTTTACCCTCTAGTTACCAAAAAACTAGTAAAATAGTGTAAATTGAACATTGCTTATTATAAATACTTGATTGTTACAAATCTAGCTCGCCCACAACTTCTTGCGTGGTCCTTCTTTATGGTAGATTTTCGGGACTTTCTCAACAAGAATATATTTCAGTCAATTTTGCATTGCATCGTTTCGCCATTTTCATGTCGCGACACAGGAAGAGTCAAAACATTAAGTAAAACAGCCTTGCTATCCGTCACTAAAAAAATATAATTTAGTTTTATAACACTACTCTATAATTATTCATTCCATTAACAAAACTAATATTTTGTACCTATATGTAGTTTGTATTTATTATTTTTCAACAGACTGCGAACCCCTTTTAAATCAAACTAGACCCCCCCACAAGGGAAGGGGCAAACTAGACCGCTTGAGAAACGATGTACTATTGTGTGAAACCCGTACCCAAACCCGTTCTAGTTTTTGAGTTTTCTGTTCATACATATGAACTGCGGAAATTTAAATTTCATAGTGTTGTTTACAATAATTCTTATTAAGGCTTCGTCAACGCCTTATAAATTAGAAGAGTCCAGAATGTTTTCCCATTTTTCTTAAACAGAACTGGACAGACGTTTGACCATAATCCCACCTGATGCTAACTGAGATATTATGGCCAGGAGATGCCTATTTTATCGCCGCTTAAATGAATCCATATTATACTGTCTAAGGATACTCCTTTTCTATTTTTATACGAAACGATAAACCAAATCGTGCACTGTGGCACCTGGGAAAGTCAACGACTTTCTAGATGAGCGTAGCTTGAAAGGGGAAAGAAAGACAGGTCGCACTTCTTTAAATGCTAGTTCTTTTTTCTACGGCACATAATGAATGCGCTTGAGAATATACGAGGTTGTCAGCAATCATTAAAGGTAGTTAGCTAGGTATTTGATTTCCCAACGTCCGTATTACGTTCATGATTTGATATAATCGTAAATTGAGTAATTTATAAAAATAAAAGTGCATTGTTGGCTCATATTAGTCAAGGTTTATTAAAGATAGCGGCAGATATTGTCATGCCCCCTGCAGAGTAATCTATCTGGCCCAACAGTGAGTCCCAATCAAACATTTAATTCTAATGACTTAGTGACATAAAGGTATAGAATGCGTATTATATGAATGATACGATTATATGCTGACAACAATCGATTTTAAAAATAAACTTTCAAAAAGTGTTAGTTATATGTCAAGGGCATTTTCAAATACATATATATAGTTAATAGATACAAGTCATTCGCTCTGTGCATAGACAATGTTCATCTGTGTAAAGAACGATGATGTTTGTACCACTTATAAGCTATAAAATGTGTAAACAAATCATTGTATATAGACACAAAATTTTACGTTATCGCTTTTATTACTTATGTTAAAATATCAAATTGTATCTAAGCTATTATTATGAGCACACCCCACATACACACCCTCGCGTACATACCCTCACTTTCACACCAACACACAACACAGCCGAATTAGGTATTATTCAGTTGAAGTGTTTAATATTTTATTTCCTTTTGTGTTTGAACTTTATTGTATATATTATGTATTCCATCTTCGGCTATATGTTTAGTATAATATTTTTTGTTTTATATACTTTATATTAGCTGCAGGATATTTTTACTAAATATGACTGATTTATGAATAAGCTTATATTAACGTCTACTAGATTTAATTGCGTACAAATGAGTACTATTATTCTATAAATATCTAAGTAAAATCTAGTCTATGTATAAATTCCGGTAGTTTAATAGATTCATTCATGTGTGAAAACCACGACAGTAACATAAGAAGTAGCTTAAGCTTTGCTTCGTTAAATAATATCACTCGTATATAGTATATAACAATTTTAAGTTTATGAAATTTCAAGGAAATAAATCTTGAAATTTATTTAATTTAATACGCACTCCTGATAATGAAGACATAGGAATTTACGTATCAGCTATACAAAACTTATAAATTTGTATGATATATACTAAAATTGTAATATAGTATTTAACTGTGGTGCTACATCTTTTCCTGGCCTTAATTTTTGTACCTGTTTTACGGTTTCCTCACCGTACGAGTGCCAATTACGCACATCAGATAAGAAATTTACATTGGTAAATAGCCGAATACACGACCCTCAGGGTTTGATGGCCTCACGCTCTACCACTAGGCCAACACAGCATAAAATATTCTACTCTGCGTATAGTACGGCCCACTCTAATTTCAACGTTGCTTGCATAGAATTACAGTATACACAATACACATAGCCACCAATGCTCTTTTCAAAGGCTTTATTTGAGCAAAACTCATCGAAATTAACATTTGTGCAGGAGTTTTGTATCGAGTAGTGTTGGCCTAGTGGCTTCAGTGTGCGACTCTGATTCCTGAGGTCGTAGGTTCGGTTCCTGGCTGTGCACCAATGGACTTTCTTTCTAGGTGCGCATTTAATATTCACTCGAAAGGTATTGGAAAATATCGTGAGGAAACCGGCTTGCCTTAGACCCAAAAAGTCGACGGCGCGGCGTGTATCAGCCACGGGATGTTCACCTACCTGCCTATTAGATTGACAAAATTTGTTCATGAAACTGATTTATTTTTATTTTTATCGTGCTGGAGTACCACACCAAATTTTTGAAATAATGTAGGTATTTCATTGCCATTCTATTTTCAAATTGTGACACAGTTGATTAATTAGATATTTATCTCCAGGGTATAGGCGTTATAGCGAAATCATTGCACGCAATTTCTCGAACCTGCCATTTACGGTGTGGACATTTCATGTAAATACTAAGTTAAATAACGTATTAACAAAATAATTCGATATTATAGCTTAAATTATGCCTCAATTACTCCACGATACACTTAACATGTGTGAAGTTTTATATGAAAATTGGTCTTTGACATATTCTAAACATAATTAATAGTATTTAGGATTTTTTTACAGGGAGGCTTGATAGTCATCTGTTTTAAACAAAAGTTATCAACGGTTAAAATACGACTGGTTATTTTAAAATTACGTCGGCGTTAGAGCTTAGCTGATAAGAATTACCATTTCTTATTTAAGCTTAGAAAAACATGCCTTACATTATGCCCTAAAACAGAGGTGGCGATGGGCGGGGCATATAGCAAAGGACCAAGGGGAAGAAGGAGAAAAGGGAGCCCCAAAAAAAGGTGTATAGAAGAAATAGAAGCGGTAGCAGGAAGCGAATGGAGAAAGAAAGCCATGGACAGAGTCAGTTGGAAAAAGCTGGAGGAGGCCTTTACACGTGAAGGGGTTCCAATCGATGGTACTGAAGGTAGCTACGATAAAGCATAACAAGTAAAATTTTTTATAAAAATGTAAAATAATCTAAGCTGTATACATCATTATATATTATTATTTTCATTTTTTTGTCATGACTTGGAAATTAAACGGGCTTATTATTATTACTGTTCTTCTCTGTTCCACAGGGCTGAGTGTACATGTGACACACGAGTATTACATTGATTGTTGTGGTTTTCAAAACACTTTTATAGCAATTTATGCAAATTAGCAAGAAACGCCAAGAAATTGACCTCAAGAATATGAAAGGAGATTATAAAAATTTATGCAAAATTTTAATTACGAAACTGTTTCAATTGGACATTATTCAATTTGCTACCGTAATGTTGCGTATAAACCTGACTAGTAGTAGGCACAGGCTTGCAATTAAAATTGTAATTCATGAAAATAATTCCTAATTGCAAAATTGCAAAATTATTATTGTAATATAATACTGCCTAAGTAGGCGTAAATATTTGTTTCAATTTGTTAAAGGACTGTTTCTTAATTTGCTTGAGTAAATAAAGAGAAAATACTTGATAGTTTATGATGAAAAAAAAATAAGTAGTAGTATTACTAAAAAAATATAATATACAAGTATGAAAAAAATATCTTTAGTAGTTTAAGAATAACTGTTATATGTTGTCATGTGTTGAAAAAGTTTTATGTTACATTTAATCACGTGACATAACGCTTTTCAGCTTGTCAAACATTTAAGTGATTCAAAATCAATAAAATAAACCAAGGTAATTTTATAAAAACTTTATTATTTAAACATTTGTACTTTCAAAATCAATGATCACAGCAATACGATATAATACAACATAACAATCCATAAGTCTTTAAGGAGATCTACCATTTTTGATGACGTTGTGAAGAGTAGACATGATGACTAGGTCCTGAGTTCTGTACAACCGCATTGAAACTGTAACAAAAAAAACAAATACAATACGTTCAAATGAAAAACATTTCCTAACATCGTGATTAAAAGTTGCTCGTAGAGTGAAAAAGAACCAAAAATATTTCTCCACTTCACTGTGTAAGTAATAATTTATCTATATGAGAGGGTTTGTGACATTAATCTAAATTGCTAGTCGCCACACTAGGAGTGCACAGATGTGTTGTGGGTAACTAGAAAACAATTATTTCGTGGTACATGATAATAAAAAAGTAAAAATAAGGTGATCTTGTTTTAATGTTTGAGTGCGGAAAAAGTGAGGAAGTTGTTAAACTAGTTTGGAAGATATCTCGGAACATCAGAGGTCGTATGAGGTCGTTACTCACACGATATATAACAGGTTTGACAAGCACATGGTTGAAGTAGGTGACGCGGAGAATCATAGGTAAGCAATGTCGTGTCAATAGCAGCTATACAAACATTGTCTATGACTGCCTTTTTTGGCGTCTCGCTGCCTCGTTTGCCCCCCTATTATATATTTAAAAAAATGTGAAACTTACCCATTGTGGTCATCAGCAGCGTAGGATACTTTTCTATAAGAACCGTCAGGTTGAACTAAAGAGTATTCCCCTTTAACAACATCACCATCACGGGTCTCATGTTGCGCTTTATTGTCTCCAGTGTTGGGGTCCTGGACGGAGTATGAGTATTGGTACTTAGGGTATGACTGTAATGAAATTACTGTATTATTTTACGCCCGATCAAATGAGTAAACCAATATTGGTTATTAAGTTATACATACGTGATAGTTTTCGGCACCGGCATACTGTCTTGCATATCCGCCAAGACCATTTGAAAGAGATGCAGGATGGGCTAAAGTAGAGTGAGCTAGTGGAGCTACAGGGGCTAAAGGTGAGTTGTGGGTCAATGGTGGTAGATAGCCTGAGGGAGCCACATGAGGTCCAGGGTAAGCCAGAGGTCCAGCGCCAGGGTGGGGTAAAGGAGCACCGTGGGCTAACGCAGCAGTGTGAGCAAAAGGTCCGGCATTTGCTAGAGGACCGACATGAGGGAAGGCACCAGCTTGAGCTAAAGGTGCAACGTGTCCCAATGGAGCGGCATTGGGAATGTGTCCTAAGGGAGCATTAGGAATATGGGCTAAGGGTCTAGAATGAATTGCTGAAGCTGGATGAATTACATTTGAAACGTGAGAGAGGGCGTTAGGAGCTAAATTCATGGCAGGCGAAAGAGCTGCTTGGTGAGCTAAACCTGGATGCGCTAAATGGGCAGCATTAGCATGACCGATTGGGGAAGCTTGTATGATATCAGTTCTATCAACGTGCGAAATAGCACGGCCAAAGGTATTACCGTGACCAAGAGGGCCGTTGAGGCCACCATTTGGTGCACCTGGATAAGCAGCGTGATTTAGAGGTGAGGCGTGGCCCAAAGGTGCTGTGTGACCTGCTAAGGGACTGTTAAATGCCCATGGATTGGCTTGTGGTCCAGGATGGGCAAATTGTCCAGGGTATGCTCCAGAAAATGCAGGCACTCCATGTGCACCATTGTAGTTGTATCCACCGTGTTGCGGACCATGTTGTCCGTATCCTCCATGCCCAAGACCCAAAAGTCCAGCTTGGGCCGCGGCAATGACAGCACCTATCACAAGCACCTATAAATCACAGTAAGATAGTTAAAAAATTAATTAACTTCTAGATTAAATTCGTCTTAAAAGCTTAACCCACTCGAGAGAACATTTTTTGAGTTGGATGTGAAACTGTGACTGACATACCTATGATGATAAATCGTCGGTTTTATAAGAATCTTCATCTCAGGTCCGGTGGGGCGTCGAGAGCGATCTCAGATTCACGATGTTACAGCAAGGTCGCTTTGCTTTGTTTTCACCGTTCTCTCATTATGCATTATCAGTGAAATGATTGTTAACGATAAGATCATGCGAACCGCGTTGCTGTACCATGTTGATGTGTCAAATTGGGCTATGATAAGGTGTTATTGTTTTTCGTTTGTGAGGTAAGAATGAGGAACAGATAGTATGATTAATACTAATTACTTTTAAGAATTCTCTGTGAGTGCGAATAGGAATTATATTTGTCTCATACCTGCCCTGGATTCTGTAACTCACTTTTCGAACTCACACAGCGGTTTTCGCATCGGCGGTCGCTCTCAAATCAGTCGTGAAGCAGTCATTTTATGATTTGGCATTCTGAAAAGGTGGGAGCTTGTAGTTTATTGTTTATTAGAATGCCAAATCATAAAATGACTGCTTCACGACTGATTTCAGAGCGACCGCCGATGCAAAAACGCTGTGTGAGTTCGAATAGGAATTATATTAGTCTCATACCTGGAATACAATAAGAGCATAGTTTAAATTTTATTGCAACAAAATCAATGCTATTGTTAGTTAGCTAGACGGATATTTATTAGAGGAAATAACTCACTTTGGTATGTTGTATAGAGCGAGGTGAGTTGAGTACTAGAATTGGTATCACAATTTCAGAATGTCGATATTTCGATTTAAAGAAACTATTCTATGAATACCTTCTCAACCACTATCATTTCACTTAAATATATTTGTGCTTGATGGGGAAAAATGGGGAAGAAACATTTTTGCAAAGTAAAGGTAAAAAAAAAAATTATTATTTATTTATTTCGTAATCCTACAGCTAACAAAAAATACAAATAAAAACAATCAATTACACTAAAAATATAGCCAAATATGGAAAACATAATATTTACAAAAAAGCTTGAAAACATTTACAAAAGGGAAAAAACAATAAAAAATATTTAATACATTTAACTAAGTAATACCTAATTTGGTATTACTGTGACGGTGAAAAAGTGAGGGTATGTACGTGAAGGTGAATTTGCGCTATGAATATTCATAATACTCCTTTTAACCATATTCCGCGATTTTATACCCATATTTTGTTTTTTGTATTAATGGTATTTAAGTAAAAAGGATAAATATTTTTTTTTTTAAATTAGTATGACCATAAGAAAACACTTTCTGTTTTTTTTTAATTAGGTTAAAACACTTTAAAATATCATTAGAGTGTAATTAGATTTCTAATTTCGAATGACCTCTTCATATTTACAATTATTATCGTGTTCTTGTGTTCCACTCGATAAAATTTTTGAAGATTTTCTTCATGATATGTACACACACTGTAAGGCCCTTTCTCCACTGCTCCGGTCCGGCGTCGGATACCGGAATGAGTCATGAGAAAAATATCGGAAGGCCGGATTGCGCTTCTCCACTATATCCGATCCGACAATAATCGATACTTGTATATTTATTTATCACCTATATTAACTAAAACCCATATATTTTATTTTATTAATAAAACGTTCTAAATTCTGCATATTTTATTGCCCTGGCAAGTTTATTACTTTTTTTATATTGTCTATCTTAAAATATTATAATCTACTTAATAAATAGTTCACTAATACTATGGTATACAAATATTTAAATAAATAGCAACATAATTTGGTTTGGTCTAGGTTATCCAGATTATTTTAAATTAAACAAACTATAAATAAACCTGTGAATAATAATTTATAACCTCTTGGATACTTGGATATACTTGGACCGATAAAACACCGCGTTCCGATCTTGCAAGTTATCGGATCGTTAAAAACCGGATGCCGGAGTAGTGGAGAAGTACGTAAGTACTGTTGTGAGTTTCTAAATCGGATCGGTAATTAACGTGTGCCGGACCGGAGCAGTGGAGAAACGGCCTAATAGATAATTTAAATAGTTGCATCACACGCTTTTTGCTAACGGATTTGCTCTTTGATGTTCCTTAAGAAATTTATAATTTACACCTGTAAGATAAAATTACTGTTACTACAGCGGTGTCGCATAGTTTTTGTAGTGTCCTGCGTAAATGCATCTACCTAATTGAAACGCAACATGCCTCTTGCTTTATTTATTTCTTGATTCAGGTGATCTCATGAAAATCTAGAGGAAGTTTTAGTGGACGGAACAAAAAGCTTACTAAAAATTAGTTACGGTGATAAAAAAATTTAATTACTGAGCATATTTTTGACTTGCATAATTGTTTCGTTATTTTAATTTGTAATACAATATGTTTCTCCAATTTAGACTAAATAAATAATAATAATACTGCAGCATTTAAATTAAACGTATTCGCTTCCTTCGGATTAAGTGTTATATAGTCGTCCTGTATTCCATTCCTGGAACAACAATATTTTTGGGTATAAAGACGTAATGTAGAAATTCAGGCACAAAGTCAGGCGAGTTTCTAGGTCTATTGGCTATTAAAATTAAAAATGTAATTGTTATACACTTTTGAAATAATAAATAAACTAATCGTTATCGTACTAAGGTAATCGTAGTAATTACATATTTTTTATGTAAAAAAATATGTCTATGTGAGGAAAAAGGATTTCGTGAATTAATTCGCGCTTATTGGTAAGGCAAAAAACATTAATGCCTAATTCGGTACCTAAGATTACCATTTCATGATTCTTATAAAACCTGTCATTATTGTTGTTTATTTGTTAAAACGAATAAAAAAATAAAATATAAGTAAAAAAGTAGCGGGAGGTTATATTCTACAACGTTACATATTTAAGTTTATTTTAATAATTAAAGTACCTAATTAAAAATTAATAAATAGAAAATTAATCCAATTTAAAAACTTTGGTCCTTGTAGCAGTTTACCTTTAACGCTGGCATCATTTCCTCGCTGTATTGCGATACTTATTCGTTGAGCGAGGATAGCACCAGCTCTGGTGTTACCGGGTACTATCTACCAGGCGCCAACTTAAATATTTTATTACCGCCTGTGCACTTGAACCCCACGGCCTAAGATTCTCTACTCCAATGAGAACATAATCGAAGTTGGAGGAAAAAATTAGTATTAGTTAGTTACAAAGTTTATAAAATAAAAGACTATCATTGTAAAATTTATTAAATATAAAAAAAACGTTGCAATTGTTAGAGTCGACATACTCGTATAAGCTTAAGCCAAAAATAATAAATGACAAAGATCCATTCGTTTATTTAAACATGTTTTAGATGAAAAATAACTCTGCAGATGCTGGAGCATTATTCTTCCCAACTAAGCGTTTCTTAAGGCAGTTATTGTCGCGGACCACCACTATGTGGAACCAGCTTCCCACTGAAGTATTTCCGAACCAATTCGACTTAGGATCCTTCAATAAAAGAGCGTAAAAATTCTTAAAATACTGGCAATTCATTCGGGAGTTCTCTGGCACTGATTGTCCATCAGATGAGCTTCCTGCCCATTTTATAAAAAAAACATTATATTTAAACACCTATCCACCACTAGCCTGTTCAATCTTTTACAAAATTTCAAAAAGGTCATAAATTAATTTGATGTTATCATCATATAACATGCAATGCAAATCAGTTTTTAAAAGTTCTTTCATCAAAATTAGCATATTTATCAGCGACTAAATTAGTCTAGGACCAATCAGATCTGAGCAACAATGAAAATTTTACAGTCGGGAAAAATCATATCCTTTTAAAAACTTCCTTTAATTTGTAGCTTAGTTGTAGCTGAAAGGACTTTCGATTAAAAAAAAAATTGTGCAGAATTTTTCATTAATTGAGGAAGGCTTCATTAAAATATCACGCTACGACCGAATAACCGCGGACGAAACTGCAGGACACAGAAATTGATAAAACGCCTTTAATGTTTTATTAACAAGATATTGATTATTTGAGATTATCGAACTTTTCAATAAAACAATTGTTTAGAATATTTTAATAAAACATTGAATAAAATGGATATCCAGAAATTTATTTATTTATTTCCAGAAAATAATCCAGTCAAATGAACTACGACACCTTTATCTTAACTTTTTTGGACTCAAAATAAGGGCTGGTTTGATAAAAAAGATTCATTAGTTTACGTCATATAATTAATTTCACAGTCATTTTGTAGAAACTTAGGGGATAGCTTAGTAGTGGTGGTGGTAGGCGTGCTGGGGGTGAACTGAGGGCGCCGAGTTGTGTACTACTGCGTTGAATCTGAAAAATAATAAGGAATAAATTAATAAACCTTTATATTAGTTTGATTTAACACCTTAGTGTTGTTTAGAAAGATAAATATATACAACGAAATGTGTTTTAATGTTTTGAACACTCTAAATTTAATCACAAATTATTTCTCACCCGTTGTGGTCATCAGCAGTGTAGTGGACCTGTCTGACGGAGCCATCGGGCTGCGCCAAGGAGTAGGAGCCGTGGACTGCGTCACCGTCGCGGCTCTCGTGCTGGGACTTGTGGTCTCCGGTGTGGGGGTCAGCCACGGAGTAGGAGAAGTCGTAGTTTGGGTGCGCCTACATAAAATGTTTTACTTAGCAATTTATGAACTTATATATAATTATTTTGAAGTAAAAAGTGTTTTCAATTAAAGAATTATAAGCGATAGAGCCTTAATCGAAACAAAAATTTAAATGCTTACATAGGTGTCGTGTCCATCGTACTGAGAAGCTCCATAATGTCCTCCGTAAGCTAAAGGCGCGTAGGCAGCTGATCCGTAGCCGGTGTCGTGACGGACAATGCTCTGAGATGACACAGCTTGGCCGTGCAGACCAGCTTTGGCAGCGGCTAAGAAAGCACCGAATGCGATAACCTAGAAAAGAATAAGTTTTTTAATAAAAAATATACTTATAATTTATTCTAGCTTTAAGTTTCTAATAACTTGATAGATCTAAGAAAAACGTACTTTGCTGAACATTTTGTAGAATGAAATTAAACGTTGCACGTCAAGTTGTGGATTAAGTGTGATACGAATTAAACTCGATCACTTTTTATATTAAATGAAAATAGGTGGGGTGTCAAGGATACTAGTAACGGATAACGGCCGTTTTTAATTATATTACTTGTTATAACGCAATGTACCTTATCACGAAAGCTAACTTTATATTGCTCTACGTAATAGCATAATATAAATAACCAAGGATGTAAATATGAGGATTATATTGTTTTAGTTATAAACGTTTTGTCGTAATTATTTTGAGAAAAACATGGGCTAACACAAGGTAGAATAGGAATCGCCTACGAAGTTTAGTTTTTGAGGGTTACATCCTTAGACTAACTTTGTAAACCTTATTAGCTGTAAGGATCTGTCAAATTAAATACATTTCTTGCAGGCACCGAAAATTATAGTACACCCTTGAAAGCCGAATATAACATCTCATTGCATACTAGGCCACTGGGGCGGAAAATGATTACAAAGTACCTTCTATTTGTAATAATTTAAACGCCCCAGTAATTACGTTAGTTAAAATATAGTTTATTTTTATCTTATAAAAATTTATGTAAGAGTACCATCAATTTTTATTATTTCTGAATTCAATATAATAAGGCGTACGAGCGAGCCTTAAATGCACATATAATATA